TTCAGGGTCCAAGTTGATAACTGGGTCTGCATTTATGGGACAGGCTCCCATCAACTGCTTGGCATAGCCAGGATCCAAAGAAGGGTCCACAGGAGAGTTTGATGAAAAGTTGTATAGGCGGTCTGAAAAGCGACCGCAGTGCGAAAAGCCTATAGTATGTGCTCCAGACAATGCAACAACATCAGTTTGGGAAAGATTGTGTTTGGCGAACATGGTATTGAGCTGGTCGAGATTAAAGTTTGGTTCTGGCAAATTCCCGGCGACCCGAGAGGCTTGTGAAACCAGTCCATCACGGCGTCCCAATTCTACGCTGAATGCAGTGCCTCCAGCCTACAGAGAATTTGAAAGTGGAATTAACATGTCATGAGATAAGTAGTGGATTGGATTGTTATTTGTTAACAAGCTTTGAGTTAAGTTTGTGCATCTGCCTTGCACGAGCCATGAGTGTCATGGTATGACTTACGAGGACTACACAATCCCGGGCAGCGAGAGCCAAAATGTCAGCACAAGAGACGACACCGGGGCATAGTGCTTCCACTGCTTGCTTGGCCTTGATGACGGTGTCAAATCCATCTCCTGCTAACGAAAGATTATCCGTGAAGTCCTTCTCTGCGTCCCCATTTGCTGAAGCGATCATGACCGATGCATCGCATCCCTGCAAATTGATTGTAAAGTTGAAGATTGATTAACCAAGAAAAGGATGAGTGTATTGTGACATTTTAGACACCATGCCCATTGCCCTGCTTCAATGCTTGCAACCTACCTCAACAAAGCAGTCATGGAAAAATAGTCGCAGAGTAGCCGGAGTTGTGATAGGCGTCTGGCTTAGTTTTGTAGAGACTGCCTGCTTCACTATGAATTCAACATTTGGACAAGTAAAGCTATAGAAGTTTTCTGCTAATTGTCCCTCTGATTCCCTCCCCTGCATAACCATCAAAACCAAAACCAACAACAACCCTTTACATGCCTCCATTTTCCTTCTCTAGCCCACTCTCTGTGTCTCTTTCTCCCTGTGCGTAGTCTCCATTAAGCTATGAATCTTATTTATAGTCAGAGAAGATAAGAGGAAGTTGAGAAAGACAATGACAACCCTTCGAACCATAGGTAATTAAGATTGGTCATGCATACTATTACTTGGTCCAAGCGTCTAATCGTCCAAAGTCCAAGACTTTGATTAAATGTCCTAATGTTCTACTTCTACATTGTAGCCATGCTCTGTATTTGTTGGCCTCTGTTGTATTGGATGAAGGGTCTTGGGGGTTGGTCATTGTCTTGTAGAGGCATCTTTATGTCCAAGTTACATATGCAGAGCCTCCTTTTTTAGCACACTTTGTAGCTGTCATTTATTTATATTAGCATGTATGCTAATTCATAGTACGAAACACAATCTTATAAATTACTCGATCATTATGATCCAACGGCTTGTGCTTTTTCTTATACGTACAAGTGACATCGGAAGAGGGGGATTCGAACACATGACATCGGGTGTATAGATAAATGCTTTTAACCACTTGAATTACAAACCCCTCTTACAATAATTGTAAACCTTTTTGTTGAACCTTGCAAGTCAAATTCAAATACGTGTAGCATATACCACCATGCATCTATTGCCCCGTATTTGGTATATTTCTTTGACGATTTGGGTCTCAACGCAACAACTCCCTTAGTCATTACTTGCTAGTTTGAAATGAAAATGACAAAATAACAAATACTTATCTCCAACTTACGTAATGTTGCACGAGTCTAAGGTGACTTTCATGGTTTCATTTGAGTTCATATATGGTTCACATTTTCAAACAGGTTTTCTATTATTTTAGTAAATTCGTCAGATAAATATTATCAAACAACAATAGGAACGTTACTTTCATTTCATCCCCCGCCTGCCTGGGCTCTGGCCTAGCGTGTGCAGCATGTTTGTCAAATAATTATTGTTAAATCCAGTATTATGTCTACCAACTCTTATCACGATGTTATTAAGTACTTCCTAAAGTGATTGACGCATTACTTGCAAGTTGCACTAAAAGAAAAACAAACTATCGGCATGTGTGGGCTAGACCAGTTCGCCAAAGCTGTATGCCAGACGCGGGCCCCCCCTTTATTCAAATTTGAACTCTCCCCGTACATTAGAGTAATTTATAAAAGGCCAAAAACTATCCAAGATAAATAAACAGTAAATGTAAACCCAATACTTCTTTGACTATGCAAATAGGCCCATATGGTTTTGTCTTTACGCCCAAACGTGGCTTGAGAACGATGATCTATAGATGGGCTAGTTTTCAGGCCTCTCATTGAGAACCAAGCCCGAATTTCGTACCCGATTTAAGTAATCCACTAGAAGCCGCTTAACGTTCCGTTCGGTTGGAGAGAGTACAAATTACGATTGTCGATCAACTAGTATCTCTCAGGGCTCACAGTAGCAGAGAAAGCCGCGTCTAGCACAAAGCCATGGCGTCGATGGATGTAGAAGGACCACAGTTAGGGTTTCCGCACTGGAAGCCTCTCCGTCGAAGGTTCGGCCCTGAATCTCCTTTTTTCGCATCTGGCAACATCGAAAGAGAACTGCTTGCCAAACAGGTTCTCTTCTTTTCCTTTCTTTCTTATTTGGTGTAAATCGTATGAAGTGTGACGTTATTTGAGATGATTTGCTTCTCTTGAGTCCGAATTTTAACGAAGTTTCTAAGCATCAAACACAATTAGCATTTCAAAATTATGCTTCCACATTTGGCTGAAATGAATTCAAATTTGAATTCGAATTTTTTTTTGGGGTGCTTTTTCCTTAATCAATTTACTGTAATATTCCGTAGCTTGCATTGGATTTAACTGAAGATGAAAGGCATCAACTTCGGAATATGGTAGATGAGGAAGGCAGGTATTCATAGTTACATGAAATTTATAAAAAGAGTTTGATCAAGAAGACACATTTTGGGTTTTGGTTGCTTTTTCCTTAATGTGAAATGTGAAGTGTGTGCTGCGCAGGGGGGTTTTCTGTACCATTGTTGGTTGTGGTGCTCGCTTGAGTTCCTTGGAGGATTTTGAAGATCACTATAATGCACGGCACACTGCATCTTGTTCTGTGTGCTCTAGAGTCTACCCAACATCACGGTTGCTCAGCATACATGTATCTGAAGCTCATGATTCTTTCTTTCAGGCGAAAGTTGCACGCGGCTATCCCATGGTATTTACTCTTCATTTTCTTCCATGACTCATGCTGGTATTGTCTGTATGATGTTGGGCTTTTGTCTACACCAGTTTTTGTGGCTGCCCTCGTTTATTTTTGCGAACATGTTGTTGATTTAAAATATGAGAGTTTTGTGTGAAGCAAAGAATAAAAGGAAAACATGGCCATAGAAGTCATTTCATGCTTTCCTTTTTCTCTTTTGCCTTTCTCCCAGTCTGGGTGCTAACTTAAAGTCCTTACCTGAGAACTGAACATTATTATCCTTTAAATTTTCAAATCAAGTATAAGTATATAACTAGTTTTGCTTAAGCATGAAGAATGGATCTGGAATTTTTCAAAGCTCATGGTTTTGCTAGATGATATCTTGTCTTTACATATACATTCTGGTTTATATACTGAAATGATGATCATAATTCAAAGGGTGAATCATTTCTCCATCTTGCTATTAATTTGGTTTGGATGTCTGTGTGTAACAGTATGAATGCCTTGTAGAAGGCTGTGATTTGAAGCTCAAGAACTATAAAAGTAGGCAACAGCATCTGGTGGACAAGCATAAATTCCCCACTTCATTCGAATTTTTCAAGAAGGCTCAACCTTCCAAAAAACAGAGGCAGAAGAACCAACGTAAACAAGCTATTCCTAAGAAGGCAGATGCATCTTGTATGGAAGTAGAAAACGAAACCATTGATAGCCTTGTTTCTGCTGTCTCCAAATTAAGCACTTCAGACTCCAGCCCCTCATCCATCAGTTTTGGTCGTCGACCCACACGCGGCTTGACATTTGTCCCACGAGCTGTTCAACGTGAGAAAAAACCAGACTCCACATAGGAACAAGGAGATGGCAAACCTACAATACAATGTGCTTAGGATTTGTTATAATGGTTTGCCTTCTTCCCGCACCTGTAGGTTTGGCTTCTTGCAATCAACTTGGAAACAGATTCTTTGAAAATGTTGTAGGTGATGATGGTTAATTGTTCTTTAGGAATTTCCTATGTACCTATCGAAGGTTGAACCCGTTAGGAGTCAGCAGCTTGCTATTAGTCTGACACCCTCTGATTTCAAGGATATCTTAGGTTCACCGATGAGGACGATATTGTTGTAATGATTGTACCGGAGAAATCACACCTTGATTTAGCTGAATCTTTTCCTGGTATTTGCCACCTTGGGTTTCTTTGTTTCTTTTTCGGTTTACCTTGTTTTTTCTTCTTCATTTTTTAATTTTTTTCCTTCTTCATCTTCATTTTACTTCAAGCTGCTGACTCCTAATACGTGTGTAAAATACGTGTGTAAAAGTACAACTTATAGGAAGAAACTATGAAGATTATGACTGATGAGCCAGTAAGTTGATACATAGTCCATTTGTAATTCACATAAAAAGTTGGGTTCAAAATTTTATTCAAAATGAGTCTCGAGTTTGTTAAGCGAGTTGGTCAATATAATATGCCTGCATTCTTACACTTGAGTTCAATTTTCCTCTCTGTATATTAGTGTAGTTTAAAATATTCGCATTGTATAAAAAAAATATAAAAAAAGTCATCACGATTGAAATTGCGGAATTGAGGTGCAAAATTGCTAGATCAATGAACGAAGATTTTGAGTTTTTGAGTGGAGATACGGATCCGGAATTTTTCAAAGCTCATGGTTTTGCTAGATGATATCTTGTCTTTACATATACATTCTGGTTTATATACTGAAATGAAGATCATAATTCAAAGAGTGAATCATTTCTCCATCTTGCTATTAATTTGGTTTGGATGTCTGTGTGTAACAGTATGAATGCCTTGTAGAAGGCTGTGATTTAAAAAAAAAGTCATCACGATTGAAATTGCGGAATTGAGGTGGAAAATTGCTAGATCAATGAACGAAGATTTTGAGTTTTTGAGTGGAGATACGCCGAAACGACTGTCGTATACTGACTGGGGCGCGCAAATTGCAATCGAGGGGTGTTACTGTGTCATTGTATAAAAACCCCTGTTTCCTCTCAAATCAGCTCCTAACTCAAATTCTTGTTCGTGTTCTTCTCTCTGAGGCTCTGACCAAAACAAAAATAAAATCTTGGGAATTCGTCGGAAGAAAAAAAAATGGACGCCATTGATTCAGTGTTTGATCCGCTAAGAGAATTCTCCAAGGACAGCGTTCGCCTCGTCAAGCGCTGTCATAAACCCGACCGCAAAGGTAATTCCATCCATTTCGAATCCAATCTTAACTCCGATCCATTTCTTTTTTCGGATAATTAATCCAATGTTTACGAAAATTGTAGTGTAATCCTCTTAATTTGAACATCTTTCATATGAGATCTGTGTTTTGAACTGACTAATCTTTCCCGTGCGATTTTCTTTTTTCTATTTGAATGCAACAGAGTTCACAAAGGTGGCGGTCCGTACGGCTATCGGGTTCGTGGTCATGGGGTTCGTTGGCTTCTTCGTGAAGCTCATCTTCATCCCGATCAACAACATCATCGTCGGATCTGGTTCAA